TTATAACAAAAATTCAGTAGGGTCTCGATAATCCGAACATAGGCTAATCCGAAATACGGGGTAATCTGAATGAGTTTGAAAAATATTGCATCCCTATATTAATACATATGTAGGTGTATCATAATAATAGTAAATATATATTTTAAATAATAAGGTTCATATTATGTAATAAATATTATCTGTACATACACACATAAATAATTATAATAATTTTTTGTATACATTTTCTTTATAAATTACAAGTTTTTACATGATTAATACAGATAAAAAAAAAATCATAATTTAAATTACAATAAAATTGATGATTTTATTAAGCCATAGATAATCCGAACAAATCGGTAATCCGAACGACCCCTTTCCCCGATTTTATTCGAATTATCGAGACCTTACAGTAATTATACAAATTATTAAGACTGAATTATAAAAATTATTAAGGACGAAATTACTATATACCTTTTTTTTTAACTGGGACGGAATTGGTATATACCTTTTTTTATAATAGGGACGGAATTGGTATAAAAAAAGGTTCTTGGGACGGAACTCAGATGCATCCAATTCATGTTATGCAAAACTAACCAGCTGCAACTACCTTAGTCTAAAATCTATATAATTTATAATACAAAAAAAAAAACTAAAAATAAAAAATGTAATACTGCGGTGATTATGGAAAAAAATGTAATAATAATAATACTTAAACAGCTGTTTGCATCAATATAATAATGATAAATAAAACAATAATTTTGTCACGATCACGAAAACGTAGGTGATTAGCACGCGAACGATAATTATAAAAATGTAACGATTCGCATCAATACAATATAAGTATAAATTAAATTAGTAATGGTTTACGGTAATTTTTATGTAACATAATCTTGGGTTCGTAGAAAATTTATAAAAATTGTGATGATTAGCGCTCACAGAGTATTCAATAATAATAGATTTACTGGTGGCGTTCTACACACGAACACTACAACGATACACACACACACACTCTGGATTTTTCGGTTACATAACGGTTCACGAACGACAAATATTAGTATTAAATTAAAACTACGTGTGTACATATATGTTAATTGGGCAGCCTGTGACGAATTATAATAGACGCGAGTACGTAACAAATTGATAAGGTTATACCTGCAAGTATCGGCAGCTCGTGATCACGCTGCAATACTAACATAAACAATACTTAAACTGTTCGCGCTTCTTCGGCGTGAACATCAATGGAAACTAAGACACAAAATTAAGTTTAAATCGCAATTACCTAAGGTAATTCGACTACTGAATAAACAATAATATTAAGTGAATAAACATGATGCAGGAATTTGACACTAAATTAATAACAATTTTGCCGTGATTCTCCATCCCTTGAAACGTTATAGATTCAACTATTCAACATAGCTTTATTCTGTATCCTCTCAAATCATAAATGTCTTACGTAACATGCAACGTGCATTATTTATTTAAACAAATTAGAACATACTGAATTATCAATAGACATCAATAGTATTATAGCCGATGGGCTATAACTGATATTTTCTTTAAAAATATTAATTCAATATTGATACGGTATCACATTATTTTATTTGAAAAACAGTACAAATAGATCATATTGAGGTTACTTAAATTATAACCATCTGTAAATTTATACCGTTAACTGTTACAGAATTATCGAATAGGGACTATATTTTGCGATGATAAAGACATATATAGTCATAATCCTAAAACTGAATGGTTTTCCTTTCACGTAGTTTTCCCAGGGTGAAAACTATTATTTTTCCAAACTAAAAATTAATTATTATTCATAAGCCTATAACACATTTGAATTTTAATCGTTTAGCGATTAAATAAATCATTAACATTGAAACAATAACTATCATACCTTTGCGTTTATATTTGTTTAAATCGTATTTGATATCCAAATAAATGACCGTAAAGAATTTTAATAATTTCAATCACAATCTTTTGTTCTTCAAAATAAAATTTTATAATAATTAAAAAAAAAAAATCTTTAATTTAAACTGATGATTCTTCTAGCCATTTTTACATCAAAGGTCAAATAATACGTTTATTGTGTAGTCATGGTGAAAACAAGTTACCAAAAATTAAATCTGTTACACCACTGAATAATAGTTCCTTTTTCTGTTTTAGAAAGGTAGGTAGTTTTTAACTTTTGAATTAATGAATGGGTTATTATCTACCTTTTGATATTCATCTTTTGTTATAAATATCACCGAGAAAATATACACCACTTCTCCGTAGGCTTATATAATAACATAAAATGGGAAACTAAATTTTAAAATAATGATGACTAACTGTGTAGTCATAATAAAATATGACCAATAAAATATTATCGATTCAAACGTCAAAACAAATTTATACAATTTTAATAAACTTTGTTTTAAAAATATGTGTAAAAATATTTGGTCCAATAAATTTTTGTTACTATGAATGTGTTTTAAAAATCTCATCTTAAACTTTTTGCGATTTATATAAATCAAAGTTGGTAAATGTTTATCGGCAACAAATTTATTTTAACTCATTCCATATATCGAAGAGATACAACAATGTGTCTATAAGATGTGTTTATACGGGAATTGTAGAACTTTGACATTTAACTCTTGAACGAAAAGTTTCCATGTTTTCCCTTAGGTTTTTGGTTAGTGATAAATTCACTGAACTTGGTGATATTTTTTAATACATGGTTAATCAAAATATGTAATTACCTATTTCCTGCTCTTAGTAATATTTTTAATTTGTCTAATATCGATTCAAAGGCAGGTAATTTCTTAATACTTTTAAATAAGTATAAAAATATATAAAAATATATAATATAATTATATAATATATTAAATACAAATAAAAAAAAATGTAAGTGTTTATATAACATGAAATAAGCAATTTCTATCAAACATCTAGATTGATTTTATGTGACAGTTTTTACTGTTATTATTTTAATTTTAAATAAAAATAACCTCTCTTCATTTCAACTTCAAAAAGTAGAGATACCTTCAACGACTCAGCTAAAATTATTGGAAATTTCACTTGATAAATGACTAACCCGGGGCCCACATTAAAGTTCAAACGAAAAATTCTTTATTACCACCTTCATCTGCTTCAACCTATTCTCAAATTCAAACTACAAATGCATACAAAATCCACTGTACAAGTCTCTACTAAAACTCATTTGTGCGTATGGTATGCCCATTTCACCCAATGCCAGAATATCGAATCTTCTCAAGTCCGCACCATCTAAGCATCCAGCCCAGCACTCTTCGACTAATAACTCGGCCCTAGGCCTACAAATGAAACCTTACACAAATATTTAACAATTGACAACAGTTGACGACCAACTTACACTAAATATATTACAACAGTTTTCACTCTAAGCTGCAATACGATCCTAACTCTTTAGTCTCCCACCTATCATCACGTACTCTTCCTGACAAACCAACACACCACCTCAAGAGGTGCCGTAACCAATTAAATTAATTAAAATAATATGATTAAAAAAATAAATTATTCTGGAGAGTTCCGTCGCTGGATGACTTCTCTCATCATGTGTTCTTTGTTTCTTATTTTATGATACGTACATGTTATTTTTAGTATTATATATTTTATGTTTCTTGCCTCAGAATGGTCAAATTTTTTCTACAAATAATTAAACCATATCTATATTTATATTATTAAAATAATTAAATTCTGAAAACTGTGCATCATTTAAATTTGAATAAAATATTCAAAATAAATGTTAAAAACTATAATAGTATTAAGATTTTTCATTATTTTTTAATATTATTTTTTGTATTGAGAAACTGAAAAATATCCAAGTAAAATTAAAAATTACTAAATTTCAAAATTACTAATTATGTATGATTTTTAATAAATAAATGGATATCTATAAGCTACTCTGAAAACTTCTACCTACTCCAATGCAAAATAAAATTGTATAATCTATATACACGACACATTGATTTTAAACGTGAATCTGAACAACCCTATATATTAGAAACTGGATGTTGAACACAAATCTGATTTTAATCACTGTAGGTATCACAAACCAATATGATATTCTTGGCAATAATTAACCAAATATGTTTGTGAGCCATGTTCATCACATCTGAAAACAGTCTATGTTTCTGGAATTTGGATTTAAAATACCTACTCAAAGATCGAAAAAATTCTTATCGATCAATTTTATACTGGCCTGGATGTAAAGTATATAAAGTACAGCATCTTAAATCTCAATTATTAAGAAAGTAAAAGCAACGTTAAATCAACTACAAATGTAATACATTCAATTTCATAAAACGATTAGATATCCTCTACAGTATAATGCAGACACCAAAATACACCATAGCGTTCGCTTTACTATCACAAATAACATATTGCCCCATTTTTAGTTTTGCTATACTAAAAAATACTTGTAAAACATACATATTCAATTAAATACAAACCTATCTATAGTACTGATGCTACGGACAGTCCTAAATGTGTATACAAATGGGAAGAAAAATGAAGTTTAGAGGGTATAATTTTATATTATAAAAATTCTTTTGTATACCAATTTGTAAGTATGTACTCGGTCCGCATTTCGTGCATGCCCCAAAAATACTCGGGCCGCGACTGCATGGAAGAAATGTTTATCGCGGGACGCAACTAGTAGTCACCCCCCCCCCCCTACGTATTTAAGTAATTAATATCAGCTGGTGAAATCTGTACATTTTTGGTCGATGGTTTTACGATTGTATTTTGCTTAATCTTTTAGATTAATTTAATTTTTTTTTTATTTTGTTCTTATAACTTGATTTTTTCTTCGGTTTAACCGTATACGCTCGAGCTTCGAGATAATATTGTAACGTACATAAAACAATCCACGAACTCGCTGACGTCGGAAATTGTCGATGTAGAATATAAAACGAATCCGAAAACGTATCCGGTAAGGACGGTGCGCGTATCACTTTCGGCTTATATACATACTACATTGTATATTATATCCAAACCTGTTAAAAATTCCGTCCAAACAGGTCCCAACGTTTCACGGGTCAAAGACGGTGCACGAACCCAGAGGGTGGATGGCCCGGAGGATACGCAGAAGTCGCGCAGACTCTTTGAATTCCACTGGTTTTTTCGTGGTTTTTTTTTTTTTTTTGTCGCAACAGTCCCTTACAGTGGCGCTGTCCGCTGTCCCCGGAAGCGGAACCGGTCTCTACGGCGGACGTTTAACGGGCCGGCAACGCAGGCGCGACTGCAGTCGGGCAAACGTATCTCATCCGTCCGTGACCCACGACTTGTACACGCTCAAGGGTGCAGCGACAGCGACGGCGGTGGCCGGGCGTGCGGTGCGTCGGAAACAACGAGCGAACGAACGGACGAGCGTGGACGAGCAGCAGCGTCTGCGGGACGACGGGGATGGCGCATCGGTGTCGGCGGCAACGCGGCAACTGATTTCCTCGCGGTGCTGGCGAACCGCGCGCGCGGGCAACCGATCACCGGAGCACCGCGTGGTCGGACGGCGGCGCAGAGCGAGCCACCAACCGAACCCTTGTACGTCCCTGTGCGCAATCGTTTTGCTGTTACGTTGTCGTCGTGATCATTTCTGCACGTCAGAAGACATAAACACCACTCACCCCCTTACCCAACCACCCTCAAACCTTTTCTCCCGTTCGCCATTTTAACGTTGTCGAAAGTAAGGGGGTTTTTTCTTCAGGGGAGTGAAGGATTTTAGTCAAATTCTCACCGTTCCCGCCCGAGGCTAAACAACACCGATAATCAACATTAAAAATTCATATCGGTATAGATCGTCTTTACAACACAATACTACTGCAATGTGTTTTACTTTTCTTTTCGTCCTCTACAAAAGGAATACAAATTTCGCTGATGATTGTCCACAAAAATATTTCAAATGTGATTATTCCACGTCAACACATTTTCGCACTCTGCCGTCCCGATTCCCATTGGTCGGTGGCAAGACTTTTACGATTTTTTTTTCTATTCTTCATGATACACGTCGCGAAAATTCACAAGCATTTTCGTTTGAAAGTACTGTTCTAAATATTTTCCCAGTAATGCAAAATGTTATAGCATTTTATACGTTAACGTAGTAAATATTTTACACGGGTAAGATATTGTTCGACATTGATTTGCAGTATAATATTTTTGGAATGATAAACAAAGTGAAACTAGAAAAGCAAAATCGCCAAGTTCGAAATGCAATCATTACAATAACAAACCAGTCCGAAAAGCATCAATTATGTTTTCCCTTCTGCCAACGGCTAAACAACATGTTATTCCCCCAATGTTTCCTTATAACCCTTACAATTACAAATTTCCCCTTTATATCTCCTTGGACTAACGCAGACAATGGTATTCGCTATATAATTAAAGAGCTGTATATTTAGTGTACGTAAATGCTGAATACAGTTTTAAAATTTAGTTAATTATGTTTATACTTCCTATACATTATTATCAATACAGAATAGGTATTATACGTCAAGAACACAAATTACATGGATTAATTATTTATCCGGTTTCAATGTAATACATTGATATAATTAACTATAAAGTCATTAATAATAAAATTTTTATTTTATACTATTTATGTGTGAACAATGAAAAAAATATTAATATTACGTAAAATTGATTACCTACAAATTCCAAGTTCAATACATTTATAAATCAATTCTATTTAAGTGTTCTTTTTTAAGATTTATTATAATGTATTTATTCCAAAAAATATACTTTATCACCTTATAATAATAAAAAAAAAGTATTTACTTATTTAACAAGAAAAATCAATAGTCTATATTATAAGCCTTGTAATATATTCAATATAATTTATTGAATAGATTTTACATCATTTTTCACTTCATCGAGTATTGGTATTAATAATGTCAATGAGTTAAGAACTCAATAAAAATTTCCAGTAAGATTTTAAAAATCTAGTGTTCGTTTATCATCATCAATTTTACACAAGAACACGGATATTAAACCATTTTTAACATTAACGATTAATTTCTTTAAATAATGTATATTGCATATTCTGTAATAAATTATTGGAAATCTTATTTTACAATATTTACAATATAATATTATTGTTCATGATTCAATATTCAAAATTATAGTACATTATTTGTTAAAGTAATATTATATTAATTAAATATTTTAACATATTATATAATATATTTGGTCAAACATAAATTATCCAAGAAAAGCGAATTATTCTTTTAAATGTATATCATCATACAACCATTGACTTAATATATTTTATACAGACGATGATACAGTTACAGTTTTGTAAGCCGATTACTGTATGGGCGGATGGACAAAATCGGTCTAAAAACAGTTATTAAAAAATATACAATATAATAACTGGAGTACAATAATTATTTGGATATATATACTTACGAGTATATCGCCAACTAAATACAGCCATCAAAACGACTAACTAGCAATGCACTAAATCAGTCTTACAGTAGTAAATATATAAACTCGTATAATCTGGCCCTCTGCAAGGTTATTAGAAAACCATAGTCTGTCTTGTTACGTATAAGTCCATGGTGTCGAGCGTATACACGATGTATTACACGTTACGTTGGACTCGATATTTTGATATTATTTCGTACGTGAACGACTCATACATTCTTGCAAACCCCGTACTCTATAGTGATTTATATAGGTGTGTCAATACAATACATACAGAACGGTGTAATTATACGTCAAAATCGTTGTTGAAAGTTGTGAGACGTTTATTCGTTACACACGCCGTATAGGTGTAAGGTTAACGAGGGGAATCAAACATTAAACCCTAACAAATTTAGTGGAAGAAAGTTATGAATAAATAATTGTGGCGATAAAATTCTGGATAAAATTATGCCGGTTTCGAAAGAAATATTTTATGCAAAAGTACATGGCTAAATGTTACGATATGGCAATTTCGTCTCTATTTTTGGCGAATAAATATCTGTAACGAACCCAACGTGACCATAATAATATCGTAAATAATTAATCATGCGGTTTCCACCGAAGTAAATGTTTTGTACGTAAAACTAATTTTACTTTTATGTTCGGAAACTTGCTTAATAATAGATTATATTAATATAGAAATACTCAATGTAATATAATATATTAACAATAGTAATTTATAATTTTTTTATTCGGAGAACCAAAATAAAAATAAAATATTAGCACAAATATTTACTCTTTTAAATTATTTTTTTTTTTAATTTGATTATTAACAACAGTCAACAATGCCATTAATTATTTTCATCTCTATTCCAACTATTTTTTTATGTTAAGTTTGAATAGTTTCATGAATCTTTGATCCTTATACAAAAAAAATAAGTAATTTATTTTATAAAATGTACCCGTTTACCATTTAGGAAAATATTTAAGCCCGGTGGATTAAAAAGTAACCATAATATCCATTTACCATAACCAATAAACGTAAAATACAAAATTTTTTTAATCCTTTTTTTTTGCTAAATCATGTATAACAGTTTAGTGGATTATCATTATTTTTATCTTCTTGTCAAAATTAAAGATTCAAACGTTTTTTGAGTTTTTTTTTAAATAAATCATAATTTTTTCTTTAATCAATCAGTAAAGAATTTTATGAAGTACTTTGTATTACATTTTCAAAACTTTTTGTCCAACTAAATTTATACTATCGACATTTAAAAAAAAAAAAAAAAAAAAGCTAAGAAAACATATATATTTCAACTTCTTACCAAGAATTCAAACAATAATTTGAAAATTATCATATGTAACAGTTAACTGAAAACCTACAACGCACACCACTAATCAAAAATATATAACTTTTTTTTATATATATATTCATACATAAATAGCTTCATATTTTTTTGATTTGATTGCGTATCATACGTATTACCATGTTTCACACATAAAAAAGTCAATCAACGTTTGAGAAACACACAACAATTTGCAAAAATAAATCAAGATTTCATTCAGATACTATGTTTGTAAAGCCGCATTTAGTTGTGTACATAAAAATTTAATTTTAAAAAATAAATTAAAAAATTTATGATTTCCTCATACAGTTCTAATACATTTTTTTTTTTTTATTTTACATTTCATTTAATTATTTTTAAAATAAAACTGTACGCATTTAAATTAATTAAATTAGAGAACGTGACGAAACACCATACAAGTTTCAAACTCAAGCTTTTCGTTTTAGGAAAATTTTAATTTAGTAAGGTAAAAGAAGTCTTGTAAGTCAGTTGCAAATGATAAACCATATGTAGGTACTTAGACATAATTTCTTTTTGTATGAAACTCACACGTTATTTAGTAATTACAAGAGTTTCAAACTTTCAAAGTACCTACTACAAATTTGCAGAATTTTGCAATTGTTATAGGTATAGGTAACTGCTATAAAATTTTAAAGGAATTATAAATTATCTATTATAGCAAATTAAAAATGTTTATATTTATATTCGCGTTGCGTATCAAATACTGTAAATATAGGCGATTGTAAGATCGGCCTGAGGAAAAAAAGTTTTCAAAAGGTTTATTGTAAACTCGGCCCATGTTTTTTCAAGTAAAAATAATGGAAGTATAAACTCGGCCTGGGGTTTTTGCAGGTAAAAATAATTTAGGTGTAAACTCGGACCGGATAAAAATGTACATTTGTATAATCTAATAATATTTTTGAGAACCATTTAGCATTACCCAGAGGACACTCAAGATCTTGTAGATCTTGCATGTCAGGTACATTGTTTACTGCACTACAAAAAATGTCGTTTCGCCTACTGTAGATATCCTCAGTTCCTTTGCGTTTGGCCACGGTGGTAACACATTGTCGTTGCAGTACTTGGTCACTGATAGGTTCACGCAGATGATCATCATTTTTCTTCGTAATATCATTATTTATTCCAAACGTTTTTAAAAAAACTGTACATTTGAGGTTTATACATCGCCATTTTCTTTCACCTGTAAATATTATCGGGCCGAGATCACAACCGACCTTTTTTATTACTTGAAATTTCCGGGTCGAGTTTACAATCTACCTACTTTATTACCTACAATTTTCGGGGCCGAATTTACAACAAAAAAGGTAATCGTGGGCCCAGTTTACATTTTCCCGTAAATATTAACTACCCGAAATGAAAATTGAATTTCTCGGAAACTGTTTGGGTACAAATTGTTTGATGTAGGTTACAATTAGTTACTAAAAGGTAACTAAATTTGGGTATAGGCCTAGATTCGATAGGACAAAGTTGGGAAGTCAACTTCACGTACATAATAAAAACACTCGGTAAACATTTTGATTATTCATTTTTAAGTTATGATGAAAACAAATATTTAATTTTATCGAAAACCAGTAAACTATGAATGTTGCTGGTTTTTTTTTTAACTCTTCGTTGTTTCTTTACAGATATTAAAAAAAATATTGAAAAATTCATAACATGACCAAATTCACCAAATTCAAGGTACCAAATAGACAATGCTTCCTATCAGAAATCATTTGAAATTATGATAATTAGAGTACTCTTTCCGGTCGAAATCGTATACACAGACACCAAGAAAATCGTGCTTGATAAAATAATAGACGAGTGGGTTCAAAGTTTTATGAATATTTTTTTCTCTTCTTCTTCTTCCATAGCTTTTACGGTCTTTGAAAGACTTTCGCTGCCTCTACTACTTTTTTTTAAAATTTTTTTTGTTTTTTTCTTAATAACTCGAAAAACTGTTAAAGTAATGGCTTCCTCAAAGTACCAAGTGTTCAATAAATCCAGTGCACCATTTAAATATTCAAGATTCAACTATTGTCCGCATTGTGTTATACGCTATTATATATACAACGGAAAAGATCAGTTAATTTTATCCTCAAATTATAATAAACTCAATAAAAAATAATTTTAAATTCGAAAACGTAGCGTGTTCCTAATTTTTTACGATCCCCCAGAAAAATTCGTTATCCTAATATGATATATGATAAATGAAAGAAATATTCATAAATATACGTAGGTAGGTATAACATCCTTGGTTATATCTTTAGTTCTGTCATTCGTGTGATTACTACGACGAGTTTTGGGCTCGGCATCAGCACGTTGTACACTAAACGCATTTTTCGAGACTGTGAATGATTATAAATAAAACTAAATAAAATTATATACCTGCGATTTATGTGTACTGACATAGGCGTACACATACACCGATATGTTATTTGCGGCGTGAATAAAAGGTGGCCAGCCGAATTGCATAATCGACGTTTGTACATCGTAATTCGTACCTACATATATAACTGACTTTAAAATTAAACACTCGCGTGACTGTAGTTCAAAATAATTATAAAACAACGAAAATGCGAATAAAAAAAAAAACCCGAATACAAGCTACTGTGGGTTACACGAATTAACAGTAAAACGACGACACCGAATTACATTAATACACTAACGCACGCACTTGCAAGGATGAGAAATAAATTAACGGCGACATTGATGTAATAAACACTTGTATAATATCGCACACCTAGAATACAAACGGATATAATCAAAAAATGTCGATTTTGAGTTGACACCACTGCTGAAATCGCGGATAAATCTATTATTTGCGCTCATCTCTTTTTTTTCTATTTTCTTTTAAGATTAATTCAAAGTAAAATGTGATAAAAATATAAAATATATTTATTTTTCTCTTTAAGTTTTGTTTTTTTTATTGATAACAAATGCCTCGGTGACTGGGAACCATTGGCTACAAAAATATTACATAATTTTTACATTAAAAAAAAGGTTATTACACTAAATTTAAACTTATATGTTATAACTAAAATAATATAAATAAAAGTTGCATATAACATTAACAGAAATACATTAAAGGTGAGTACACTATACATTTATAATACATATTATTTGGATACATTTATACATTTTTTTTATGATTTAAGATTGTTTATTATTAAAGGACCAAGTTAATTTTTTTTTCGTGGTGTTGAATATTAGGGAATTCTTTAAACTCCTATGAAAATAGTAAGCAATGATTAACGACGAGTGTTTGGCAGTTGTCCGAAAAATGATAACGACCTAAGAAACGATAAGGTCCGAAATTTGAAAAAGCAGTACCAACTGACTAAATCGAAAATTACCTATTCCAATTATATAATTTATATTAATAAAAGTTATATTATGATAAAAGTTATACAATGTCCTCTGATTTTCACAGTGGGAAAAATACTAATAGGTTATATTGTTTTCAACAAAAATTTTGATTACTTTTACTTTTTATTTTATTTATATTTATTTTCTACAAAAATGGACCAAATTTTAACCCTTTCACTACCAAATTAATTTTTTTGAAAAAAAAAATTTTCTCTTTTCATATCTGAAACTTATGGCCCTTCAATATGATGTACCAATTTTTTTTTTTTTTTTTTTATTGCTAAAAAGTTACAGGTATGTCCATTGGAATGGACATTGGGATTTACGGTATAAAATAATACAATAACGACAAATGTAAAAAAAAAACATAAAACTTTTATTTTGCTTCATTATTTCGTAAAAGAAGACAACTTATTTACTTAGATAATATTATATTAATTTTTAGTTTATAAAACACTTAAATGAGATTAAAATTAATTACAATGGAAATCATAAAAACAATTTTTTTTTGGTGTAAAACACAAATGAATTTTACATTTATTACATACAACATGTGTTTTACCTGTACATTTTTTGTTTTTGCACCGTGTTGCTTCTTTTTTATCATCATACGCGGGAAAATGTCCAAAAAGATCTTTGCTTACACCTTCCGTTGGTCGAAACTCCAATGCTTTTGACGATGTTTTGGCAGGTGTTGGTGAACGACATTCTGCAGATCTTGTACTACTGGATGGTGAAGATGTAGGACGACCCCTTTTTTTTCCGGGACTGAATCGTCCAACCATCACTAGCTCTTCAGCCAAAGTGGTTTTGAAATGCAACAAATCTTTTTGATCTTTTTTTAATATTCCCATATTTTCTGCGTCCTGTTTGTATTCGAGCCAAGAATTTGCCACAGCCATATCAAAAGCATGAGTTATCATACGCAGAGTCCATTTTCGAGATTTCATGTACACGCGGTAATAACTCACAAGTTGATCGTGTTTGTCCACTCCTAACATGGATTTATTATATAGTTTGATAATTTCTGGTCTTTCGATGTTAACATATTGTTTATTTTTTTTGTCCCAGCGAGAAACAGATTCCGGTTTTCCTGAAGTAATGAAGTTAGATGCCATGGTTATTGCTTTATTGTCGCACCATTTCAACAGTCCAACTCCTAATGTTGAAGTTACTTCATAAGAGGTTCCTCTCCCCATTTTCATAATAACTTTATCGGATAAAACTGGTGGATTAAAAAATTGATTTATTCGAATTGTGCCTGCTGCATATATTTGACGTGCGGTGAGTGCATAAAATAAATTATACGAAGAAAAAAAGTTGTCAAAAAAAAGAAAATGTCGATTTGGCGTAAGATGTTTAGTAAGATCGAGGACAACTGCTCCACCTAGACCGAAATTTTTTTGTAAATCCTTGTTAATATTAGTTGAAACTCCTTGATAAAGAATCATGTTATAGACAATGCCACTTTGACCACAAAGTAAAAATATTTTAATGCCCCACGGATTCGGTTTTCCTTTCATATACTGTTTTATAATTAATTGACCTTTAAAAGGAACTATTTGTTCGTCAACACTAATGTTTCGTTCCACTGGTAATTGTTTACATCGATTATTTAGCGCATCAAATAATGGACGAATTTTTACAAATTTATCGGTATTATCACGAGCTATATCCATATTGTTGATGATATGAATATTTTGTCGAATAGAATAAAATCTATTTCTGGGCATTGTATCGGCAATTATATTTACGCGAAATTTTTGTTCCCAGTACATCCCGATCCTAGGGTACTTCAAAACACCCATCATCATTTGAATTGCAATAAAAGATCTTATTTCTAATGGTGACGTAGGTTTAAAAGAAAAATCATTATTTTGAACTGCGTATAAATTTGTATAAAATGACAAGTCTTCGAATATTTTTTGGTCAAAATATTTAGTGAAATATTCGTATGGTTGTGGTATTGTGGAGGGACAATCTATTGGTTCTAAATCTGTAAGATTTATATACGGCTCTTGAAATGGTTTATTTATCCATTTTATATCTTTTTTTTGGACAAATGGAAACTGCATTGGTGATATATCAAAGACTTCATTTCCAGACTGAGTTTCATTTGTTGTTTGGTCGTCTTCTTCGTGCAAGTCTAATTCTGTATTAGCCAGCATTTCATTATCGAGTTCGGCAGAGAAATCATCATTCGCAAATTTATTTAATAAATCTTCAAGTTCATTCTCTGACTCACTATTCAATATATCTATATCACTAATTGTTCCGTCATCCAAAAAGCTCAAAATTTGTTTTTCGTTTAACGCCATATTATATAAAAACTTGAAATAATAATAAAAAACCGTGACGTGCGAGCGAATACAGACGGTACTGATACAGAATATCAACTAAACACAATATAATTGTTTTTATATTATTACCATTATTACGTCATACGATATTGATGACAATACCACAAAACTCAATTCTAGAAAAAAAACCCAAACAGTTATAAAATTAGAATTGAAATTTTACCCGATATTCCCACTGTCCATTTCAATGGACATACTTTTTATCATGTATTACTTGTAGTGTATGATACTAAGGTATGCTTAATCAACAAAATTTTAACATTCCAGATACCTTTTACCAAGAAAAAAATATTCAGTGTCACCAACACTTATATTTCAGTGAATAAGTTAAAATATATTTCAGTTTTTGATAACACAACAGTATACAAAATTTTTTTTTGTATTTTCATTTCTTCACAAAAAACTATATTAGTTAGAAGTCTAAAAATATTTTTATTTTGATTTATACTAGTATTAGATAAATATATATGCGTAATATGATTAGTTTGTATACATAGTAAATTATAGAAAATAAAATAAAGTCATGTCCATTGCAATGGACAATGGTAGCGAAAGGGTTAAACTATGGTAACATATAATTATGTATAACATTAAATCATGGATATGTTTTCTGATTAAAACTTTGATTTGTATTATTTTAGTAACCAATGTAATTAGAGAAGGGTAATGCTTTTCTGCTCTCGCAATTCTTCTTAATATCCATGTTATAAATCTATGTAATATATCATGTATGTTTATAAATATCTAGCTTAATATTTAATTGTATGTAAACCTTTTTTAAAATATATATGTTTTTTCATACATTTTTTAATTTTCCATGTGCTAGTATGTAAATAGTATAAAATATTACGTTTTAGTTTTAACTGTGTACTGAAAAATAAGTATTTAAAAATGTATCATTTAAATATATTATTATAAATTATTTCATATAATTGATACCTGTTTATTTTATATGTAACTAATTAACACAATAATTAAAAATTAGCATATAAATAAATTGGTACTAAAATACATGTTAAAAAAAAAATCCTTAACATTATTTAAATTTAAATAAATTAATTGAAATTAATTTCATCTTTAAATAGGAAATTCCAGATATTAAATTAGGCACTTAAATATACACTATAATATTATATATCTGTGTCTTTATATGTCTATGATAAATACACAGAAATTGGTTGGTCATAAAATGTGAACCGTAGTATAGTTTAAATTGAATATAATTACTATCGAAAAATATAATAATTATCATTCAAATGCAACAGTATAACTTCTTAAACAAAAAAATAATAAATAATTTTATAATATAATTTTTAGAAATTTTATGTTGGCAACTCATTTTATGCTGCCGTCTTTCGATTCCAGTCCTTATCATTTTTCGGGCAACTGCCCCAACTCATTAACGACAACTAATTAAAAAAAAAAAAGTCAAAATATCACAAAAACTGATACTGTCGGACGGTTTTGAAAATTCTTAAAATTTTTAATTGCATTTTCTCAGTAATTACTATTTCTGAGTTATGCCACTTGTATTCTAGGAATGCGATATGTACACACGACACACAGTCCAAGAGTGATAAGCAATTTTGTGGCCAGAACTAAAGCTTGTCAACGAAGCAGAGGTGAACAAATAATTTAATTTATTCCCAAAAAATATAATTTTTAACAATTTTTTAGACTCTGAACATAATGAAGTATGAATCTATTTTATATAGATGTGTTTTTATATATAAACGAGTATTTATGTATGGCTAATAAAACTTTCAACCGTCTTATAAAGACCGTTGCAATAAAGACCTTGTCTTTAACATTTTTTTTCATTAATTTAATTAAAATATAATATATTATATCACTTCTGTATTATAAATTATCTTGATTAAATATTATTAATTACCTGTAATTTTGTTTGTTATAAAAGGCTTAGGGCGTATAATTAAAATAAATAAATATATTGTATCGGTCATCACCTTTTGGAGCATTCAAAGTGTTTCGATTTTCAACTTTAAAGGTGGTTACTAACAGCAAATCACTTCTAATTGATACTTTGGGAGGTCATAAGTAAAAAAATTGCAGTCATCCGTCGTAGCAATCCATTGGACGCGTACAATCGATTGAAATGAACGTAAAAAAGACTGTTACCTTTTGTCTCGTAAGAAACATAAAACAAAAAAAAATAATAATATTAGAACCATCCTATATTTCCGGAATGGCACTCAAAGGGCTTGTTTCAAAATTGTTTTAAGGATTTTCGAAGATGATATCCGGAACGTTTTTTAAACTATACAAAAAAGTCAGTGCAATCATCCTTCGATAAATAACGTGGTGATCCTATAGAACAGAGAAAAACGCAAAACACATCCGGCTATTTCGATTAATGCGCCTAGACTCGTGGCAGCCACGTAAAATTATCTCTTATCTTTAACTAGATATTTAAAAAATATCTTTATACAACACTGGTAATGTATCCTATAATTTAAATATTTCAATTTCATGTTTTATAATTTAATATATTGTAATCATTGGTTACAAACACAATACCACGGAATAAATTATAACCAATGCTACTTCGTTTACGTATAGGTTTAACAATACTAAATTGTAGTTACATCTTCATCACATATTTACAATCCATTAAATCTTGACCCATAGATATACCTCGTCTAAATAATATATTTTTCTGATAACTACATTTAATTGCAATATGATATAAAATATAATTCAATTTAAATTAATCAATATAATTTTATTATAAAACATTCAATTTTAATTCATTTATTTTTATGTTTCTTTTTAGAACTTGGATTTTTTTTTTTTTTTTTACTTCAAGTCAAATCAAGTTTCCTCCGGGAGCCGGGGATTCCCTTTTCATTTTCATTTTTGAATTTTCCACTTTAAATATTTAATGGTATAAAAATCAAATTAATTTAATTTAAATAAAATATTTTAAAACTTTTAAATCATATGATTCAAATAATTAATAATAATAATAAACTCTTATTGAATTGCGTTCATAATAATATAATATAATTCAATTTAAATTAATCAATATAATTTTATTTCCAAAACATTAGTTTAAGGTAAAGTTCTCGTAATCATATAATACAGTTGTTGTTGCCCTCCAATTTTATTTACATTGTTTTTATTATTTTATAACCGAATACGTGCACACATAATGTATTGTACTACCGTTGTAGTATACTAATATACTAGTGTTCTGAAAGTTTAAATATTTAAAATGGTATTAATAAATAAATAAATAATTATTACTGATTTATTATGAATACCACTTATGTTAGATGCGACGATCATAGATTATTCCAGTTCATTATTTTCATTTAATTTAATGTTTACTACAGTTCTGTTTTATTTTTTATCTTCAATCGTTCGCGTTATTGTAATATTTTATGACGCCACTTAAAATTTAGAGTTCTCTAACTTTTTGGGCAAACTGTATGTTACAAAACTAATACACATTGTATCATATTAATAAGAATTAAGTCGTCTTCGTGATGTTATTATCTTAGCGCTTATTCATACACACGCAGTTTTCGTCTAGTACAGTTCAAGTTGTGTACTAAATATGGTCAATCTGTATAAATTATGAGTATTAAAAGCTAATAAGAGAATCTGCCCGTTTTCCATTTTATTCTTACTTTCGTTTTATAGTTACAAAAAATTGACGAAACAGTTACCTCTAATGTAGGGTAGTGCAAAACGAATACGATAATACGAGGAATTTAATTTTCGAGATCAAACTTGTTCGGTTTATACGTGAACTTGGATGTACGCATTTTACTTGCGTTATCATACTAAACAAATAATTAATTGCTTTTAAATGAAAACGGCAAATCGCACTGAGAACTCGAGCTAACCGTATTATACACACTATGATAGATCAAGGCATTTTTATTATTTCCGACTGTCCCACACTTGCTTCCGAAAGATCATATCTACATTTCCTTTTATCCGTATAATGGTATTTTTCGACCCAATGAGTTCCTAATGTTTCTACACATACTCTATACATATATTGTAACTTCACTCGTGGACCGTTCCCCTGTCCGTAACTCCCGTAGTTCTTTTTCTCTGCAGGTTTTCCAAGAACTTTCTCGTTTAATAAATTTAATAAGCGTGTGGCCGTTGTTCTATAAACGTATTGATTCAAACTATATTATTCTTTTTATTCATTCGCCATAGAAATATATGCAATTCAATTTTCTAGAGAAATCGTTAATAATAAAAATTAATAAAAACAAAAATTAATAAAAACAAAAATCACTCTTTTTCCAATTCCGTTGATCTTCTTTTTTATACCAGACGTGTTTTCTTTTGAGATAAATACTCGTGCTAAATTTGTGCATTTCAATTTAATGTAGTATATGGTTTATAGGATTACTTTTTTCTAAAAGTATTTCCGAGTGCTTTGTAAAATGAGGATATAAAGATGATTTCATGAATATTTTTCTGTTACATCCACAACAATCTTAAAACAATATACTGGTCGCCTAGAATAAGGAAAATATTTCAAACGAAATAATAAATACGTTTAATGTTTAGTTGTCGGGATATAAAAATAATAATTTTTTATTTGCTATTAAATTGTCAATGAAATCATTTAACTTTGTACGAATAACAGTTTAATTTCATAAAAATATAAGTAATTGATAACTGATGTCAGTAGAAACACGGTTCACTATATATATTATCCTCTATTACGGGTGAAACAGTTGAAACGATACAAACTGTTAAAGGATAATCAATGTCACCATTCCACGTAAATCCAAAACATAAATAATTATCAACATATTTACGTTTAATTTTTAAATTTAAACTTTTATCACTTATTAAAGCTGATTGTTTAATATTAATTTCAATATTTAAATTGTTGTCATTTGCACTAACATCACTGTCATCTGTTAATTTATGCTTTTTTAAAAATCTATCCATTTTTAAATTTAACTTACAATATTTCTTGATCAAAATACCTATACAGTATAATGCGTAACAATTACACGCGCTAAATTTTCATTATAATGACCACCGGCTATGTTTTCATGTAGTAATTTTAATATGTGGTAAAAGTCAACGCAACTGCTTGTAATACCCGTATCGGGTAGTATAGGATCCCATATAATATTATAGCCGTTTCATCAGGACATTTTATCATTTTTTATTTTCAAGGGAATTTTGAAGTCAATGCTATCATAAATATAAATTATAATTTTGATTATCATATTTAGTTATGCTTAAAAAATTATAAAATTACAAAAATTATACGGCACACCTGAATAATTTCGCGGCACACTTGTGTGCCGCGGCACAGTGGTTGGGAATCCCTGTTCTAGGTTGCTTATTTTTGTGGACGCGATTAAAAATAGCCACGATTATTTGTTGGAATATAAACTTAATCTGAAAATTCACACGAAAAAACGCGGTAAAAAATTAATAACAAGCATAATGAAAGGATTTCGATAATTGAACGATTAATAATCCAGATATTTTTATAATCAAGAGAATCTCTCAAAAAATCGAAATTAAAATAATTTAATAATTTGATGAAAACAATTGGCTATTTTACTAATCGAGGTTACTAATCGAGAAAATGACTCGAATCATGAACAAACTTATCATAAATAATCAGGGCCCTCATAAAAGGATGTCAGAACTTCTGCCCCTAATTTTAAACCTTATTTTTAATTTCAAAATATATTAATATACGCTAATATATGAGTATATATCACTTGTTTGCTACAACAATGACATAACACGAAAAACATGATTTTACACAAAACGCATTTGAAAATTTTATTTGCAATGATATGATGGCAACGCAATAACGTCACAACTGCTATCTAGCGGCTAATTTTTGTATATTCACTTATCTCGTTCTTGCAGTATAAAGAAAAACACCAAAATTATTATTATTTGCAAACACCTCAAAAATGACGATTTTTGTGTTATGTCGTTGTTGTAGCAAACAAGCGATATTTATTTATTAAAATAATATATTTTGTTCTTCTAAATATACAAATTAGCCCCCTCCCATTTCATATTTATAGATCCACCCTTAGTCAGAAGGACTCATTAAACTAGGGACCAGCGTTCATGCAAATACTTCAATACATATCAGAATACAGTGGCGTAGAAAAGAGGGGAGGACAGAGGGAGCTTCAGATCATTGAAAGAAATCACTCTACCAGCGAAAAGTTCGCGGCGAATCCATTTTCGCGTTCACGTTCATGGCGTGTATATGTGTGCTCATAAGTCTTCTTATTTCTTAGCATTAGCATGCATAAGAAACAATCTCACTTGGAATAAATACGTATAAAGTACTTATATTTTTAACAAGATTAAAAACTTAATTGTCCGTGATATAATTAAACAAATTAAATTCAAAAAAATAAATTTTATTTCCTACCCGTCAAAACGTAACTTTTAATATATTTGCTAGCTACATTGAGTAATTACTCTATGACCAGCTGGCATGCTTGTAACCATTACGAATCACACTCTCGTTGGATACAAAAATAGGTACAACACTTTCTTGCATTGAATACGGATATTGATAGTTTACAGCCATCTGAATTCGAGAATTCGATACAAAATAATATTATCGTTTATCAAATCAGACTTGGATAATAATATAATTATTTTCCGTGACCACAATCAAAATAATGTATGCGTGAGTATAAAATTTAGTGAAGTTATTAGTTACTTAATTAACTACTACGTACCCATGGTGTATGGTCAATGAAGAAATCATTTTTCGGTTCAAAAATATTAAATTCATCCATTTTATTGTTCAGTGATTCGCGCTAAAAATTGGTTTGTTCATTTATGTTTGATATATTGTATCTTATACAACATATTTTCATCAACGATCAACAATCTCAGTCGTACAAAAGACTGTCAAGTACAGATTACAGTTGAAAGGTATTATTTAATTAATTTCATTGTTTTCTAATTAAAGTATATTTTTTTAAATTGTTTTAATGATAATTATTGCTATAACGTATAGTTGTGCATGATGTTGATTTAAAAATAGATATTTTACTTCACGTATGAAGTAATTTTATTAGACCTGTTGATTTTACTCTAAGATTTGTTTAATTTATTCAATAGTAAAGTTTTGCCTCCAGAGTCATTTTATATTCATCCATCTACTGTTAAATGAAATTACACAGAATTTAATTTTGATTTAATTAATTAATTTAATTATTAATTATTTAATTAATTATTTAATTTTTAAATAATTATATTAAGGTTATAAATAATATTTTTTTGCGAGACTATAATTATATAATTAAATCAATTATAAGTAACTAGTAATTATTTTTAAAACAACATTTTTGCTCCTCCAATTTTGGCCTTACCTATCCCCCAAATTGATGGTTAATAAATAGTAATTACATAATTTAACTATAAATCCCCTGTATTAATTTATGTTACTTATAAAAAAATTGTATTTTCAGAAATATTTATTTTTTCAATTAATAACAACTATGGAAGCTAGTATTAAACCAGTAGTAAGTATTAAATGTTGTATAATTTAAAATATTTGAAATTCGATGTAATTATTAATAACATTAATCATACATACAACAATTATTAAATCTTACTAAAAATGTGTATTATATATTTATAAATATATGTCTAAGTTTATAAAATACAATTTATTGTACTGTTGTATATTTTTTTTTAAGATATGTTTCATTTTATTGAATTAATCTTATTTTTAGAAAATATTTAGAATTATTTTTTTAAACAATTTTACTTTAGGAAATATTTAATTTGGTACGATCAATAGTCCAAAATGTAAATATTAACAATTTTAATGAAATGGCACACACAATTATTTCCATACCACTGAAAACAATTTATATATTTGAAAACATAGTGGATATAATTTATTTTCGGGTATATAAATATTATTAATAATTATAATAGTTATTAAATTTGTTGTTTTACTTATCTAGGCTTTAAATAGACCCGATTTTACAGTTTTATATGCAAAGTTATGTGCATACATGGCCAATCATGTTGCATTTAAAAAACTTCACAATTCTAAAATTACTTTTCAGAAAGTTTTAGCACAAAAAATCTTTGATATGTTCACCTCATATTATATTCGTACTCCTCAGAACGAAGTACATAAATTAAAAAAAAATTTTATGAACAGTAATATGGTAACTAGTTATAATTTGTTAATAAAATAATAGTATTTTTGTGATTATATTAGATTTTATAATATAATCTATAATTGAAGTCTTAAGTCATTTCAAGCTTAAGATAAATCTCAGTACTGATACTTGCATAGTTAATTTTTATTTATAAATAAACTGATTTGTATCATTTTAAATCAAGACTTATTCATACATAATATGATTTAGGTACCCAAATGTATATTATATAATTAACAATAATAGCTAATAATTAAACTGACTTGAGTAGAATTACTCAACCAAACTACTAAAACTTAACCATTCTTATTTGCCTTTGACTAAAACCATATTATATTCAAATACATTTTCCACCAATTGATAATATATGTTTTTTAATTTAATTATCAAATAATATAAATATTTTATATATGTTATAGACCCCATCTTTTTTCAAGAATATATTGAATAGTTTTCATTTCCAATATTATAAAAGGTCTTTAGCCCATTGCAAGTATGTTTTCAAGTAAAATTAATTAATAATTTGTATATATTGTACGAAATAATATTTTTATAGATTTATCGGTGAATTATTCAAACAAGGGGCTTTTACCGAAAAAAATATACTGTCGTTCATTCACGAATTGATGAAAGTAAAAGATATTCTGAATATTCATTGCTTATGTATAATATT